TGACCGTAATTACATACTACCTCCGTCCCTTAAAACTTTGCCAAAGTTGACTGACACGTAGAATAATAAAGTAAAAACTGTGTGGTTGAGGTTTGTGCAGAGGAGAGAGAAATAACAGAAATCACAAAATATTTGATTAAAAGGGAAAGTGGCAAAGTTTTTTGGGACGTCCCAAAAAGGAAAGATGGCAAAGTTTTAAGGGACGGAGGGAGTACTAGGTATTACATATAGTGCTGTTATTTGAGCCGAGCCGAGCCCGAGTATCACGAATTCGAACTCGACTCGCTCATTTTTCGAGCCTGGCTCGAACTCGGCTCGTTAAAATTCGATTCTATATTTGAGCTCGAACTCGGCTCGTTAAACTAATTTCTGGCTTGAGCTCGACTCGTTAATATACCCGAGTCAAGCTACTCGAGCTCGAGCTCGACAACTCATTAAAGTGGGTCTAATCTCCTATACGGCTAAACCTAATATGCAATAAAATGACAATTGTGCTCACCTTACGAGCCCTATCATGAGCTTCACCGAGTTTTTTGAGTCGAGCCAGCTCGGCTCGTTAACATTATCGAGTAAACCAATGACTTCGAGCTCGACTCGTTTTCTCGAATATATCGAGCCGAATACCTATGAATTGAAGAAGAAGAAAAAAAAAGAACAGCTTTTGAATCACCTTCCGGAGCTTTTCAATCGCAAAATTGACTGCTCCCAAAAACAAAATCCAAAACTTTAACTTGACTATGTCGTAGTCCAAAATATTAGTTCGGCAATTATGAAAACCATAATAATTGTCTAAAAGGAATACTTAATTCCACTAGATCATTAATTAATTGCAGAATCACCATAAAATAAATATACTCCTTAAATCGCTAAACTGTTCCACCTTTGGATCACCAAAAGCACCGTAATTGCTAACTCCAATTACAGTAACGTTGAAGTAGAATTCCAATTGACATAAATCGAGATACTCAAAATGATTACATATTTAATCAGGATCATCTCAATCGGGGAAAAAATCAAAATAAACGTATCTTCATAAAAACAATGACAAATGCTAATAATACAAATAAAAACAAATACTATCGTATGAAACTACGATTAAAACATAGTGATTCATTGAAGTCGATCATAAACTGCTAATTCAACGTAGGAATACAGTAGGAACGAATTGCACAAATGCAAAATCGCGTTACCTTTTTTCCATTTAATTAGCAGATTATAGGACGAAAGAAATCTCATAAATTCAATCGTTTAGGATTGAAACAAAAGTGTGAAAACTCCAAATATTTTAATATGAAAGAATAAATCCGATAATACTTTAATCTTCATATTGAAATTATCTAGCTAGAGATATCTTTACATATCCGAGAGATGGAGACTAGGGTTTGCAGAAAGACGGAATGAAGCTGGTGTTCAACTAGGGATCATAATTACTCTATTTATAGAGAGTGTTCAACCCTAATCAGTTCATCATTAATTAGGTTAAACTCATGGGTTTCTACACATTTGGGTCCTATACCTTATTAGATACGGAGTAATATATTAGTCCACTTAAATTAATACTCATAGGCCCACTAATTTGTGAGCATATAATAAGATAACATATAACATACAATTAAACTCAGTAAATACTATATTTTGAATATTATATGTAGTATGAGTCCAATAATCTAACAATTACTGCCATGTTTTGCAGTATTAGACTTTAAATTTGGCACGCAGTATTTTTTAAATTTGACAGTAATTACTCATATTTAAGAAATAAAACATAATAATTCAGTTTTGGAATTATATTCTAAACATTTTTACTCTTATTTCACCAATTTTTTCTAAAAGTTACAGAGTACTATATAATCACTTCACATAAATATAAAATTACAGTGTGTCTTTATTTTTATTTTAATCCTATAAAAAATTGTGTCCCTAATTGAAGCATGGCGGCATGGCAACACACGTTTTCTAATGCATGCTACAATCATTTGGTGGTATAATAAATTATATTCCGTACTTAAGAGACCTGGCCCGGGTTGATAAATTGATATCACTCCTGGATAACTATACACATACTACGTATATCTTTAGATTAACATTATTAGAAGTTAGAACTGGTCCGAATTTATCTCTTCCAGTCTGTTTGAATCATTTTCAATCTGTTTAAAGTCGATATGTAATAGAAATGTATTTTATTACGATTCTATTCTCGCCTTAATTATTTGGTTTGATTTCATATAAACATTAGATATTTCCCAAAATAGGAGTAAATGGAGTTTGGAATTTCAAAATATGAGTATCATGTTTTTATTTCCGATACAAGACTAACATGGCAGTATTTATTGTCATCTTGTAGGCGTGACCACCAAATAGTTCCAATACAATGCATTTAACATGACAGTATTTATTATAATTAATGACGACATTTTTCAATCATGGCAGTATTTTTCATACATGCCAATAACAACTCATATTTCGAGAAAAAAACATAGTAGTCCTATTTTGGAATTCTAAACCTCATTTACTCCTATTTAGGGCAATCTCCCTATAAACATCCTCGTTTAATCTGGTTAGTTTTAAGTCTGATTTAATCTTGATTCTTGAGTGAATTAAACTTTAAAGCGTTTTTTATACTTTTAAAACTTGAATGGTCAACGCGAGCGGTTTTTTTCTAGGATTGTCGACTCAAGCGACGTCTAGCTTTTTGTCCGGCGGTGCTTCGCTCAGGCGAGTATGGCATCGAGAAGGTCTTTGTTATTGACTGCAGGAGGAGATCACAGGGAGGATTTTGGTAGGGAAGAGTCAATGAGCATCTTATCGTGGAATTGTAGAGGACTCTACAAGAAGATGGTGATTGGGGCAGAGGAAGAAGAACTGGATCTAGATGAAGCTGATGCTGAGGGTGTGGCGGATGAGCGGCAGGCGTGTCCCCCTCCTGAGTCGCCGCCATGGAGTGCAAGCAAGTCTAGGGTTTGGAAGAAGATGGGTGAACTTTATTTTAATTGCGTTTTATTCGGTTTGTGTTTTTCTGTTGAATTGCATTTTGTTTTGGACGTGTTCTTTTTTCCTAGCAGAGAAACTCTTAAATTTAGGTTAGGTGATGAGAAGTCTGGTTTGGCAGTCATTGGCTCAGTTATGCTCTTTATAGGATCAACTAATGTTATTGCTTCTATATAGGTGATAGATTCTCAGTCTGGTTCGAGGGCGGACGACAGACATAAGACTTTTTATCGTTTTGTTTACTCCTTTTTCCTTGATTGTATTATCAGCCTTGTGACGAATTGAACGTTATTTTGATTTAATATATTAGTTGGATTTGATGATAAAAAAAACCTGAATGATCTACTTTTAACTTTTCCATTTCCTGTCCTTCAAATATTGTGCGAGAATCATTTTTAGTCATCAATTTCAGAATTCTTCACATTTAGTCTTATGAGTATTCAAAGTCGACACTTATAGCCCTTCTATTATGATTTTGAATTGGCATATTGAATGTACTGGATAATACTCCCTCTGTCCCGAAATAATTGTCATGTTTTCCTTTTTGGTCCGTCGAGAAATAATTGTCCTCTTTTGAAATTTTTCTTATTTGGTAAACAAATCTATACAAAACAGTGTCAACCAGTGCAAAACAGTGCCAAACAGTATCACTACAGTGCCAAACAGTGTCACCACAGTGTCAAACAGTGTCGCTACAGTGTGAAGTCAACTTCATTTTCTTAATTTGTGTGAAGGTTAAAGTAAGACAATTATTTCGGAACGGAGGGAGCGGTTCAAAGACAAAAAATGTATCGTTCTTGAATGTCCTAACATTACGTATGGAAATTTGAAATGAGAAGTACCAAGATTGCCTTTAATTCACACAATAGTCAAAGAATTGATGTGAAATAATTTAAAATCAAATATGAAAAGTGTCCACCAAAAATAACAAAAACGTAACCTAAAAAAATGAGTGCGTATACCGTGCAACCGGTATACGGTGAGCACCGTATACTGGGACGGCTTTGTATTTTTTTTCCCTTTGTTTTTAAAAAATGGTAATAACTTTTTTATTTTTGATCCGATTTTTATAAAATTTATATCAACATTTTTTATTTTTCATGATCTTTCAAATGAGACCAATATTGCCTATGTAATTTTAACACATTAACATTTGTGTGTAAAATATGTAAATTTAAGTGTTAAAATATGTAACTCACGTTCAGTCAAGTCAAATGCAACTCGTGTGTATAAATATGTATCTCTACGTGTAACAATATGTAACTTTATGTAAAAAATATGTAACTCGCATTCAGACAGGTCACATGCAACTCGTGTGTATAAATATGTAACTCGCGTGTATAAATATGTAACTTTACGTGTAAAAATATGTAACTTTACGTGTAAATATATGTAAGTCACGTTCAGACATGTCAAATGCAACTCGTGTGTATATATATATGTAACTCGCTTATAAAAAGATGTAACTCGCTTATAAAAAGATGTAACTCGCTTATAAAAAGATGTAACTTGCTTATAAAAAGATGTAACTCGATCATAAAAAGATGTAACTCAATGTATTATCAAATGTAACTGGGGCCACTGATCCACTCCCAAACAGATTCGATCTTCTATTTCACAAACCTATCATCTCCCAAACAGATTCGATTTTTCTTATAATCCAATACTCATTAATATAATAGTTCGATAATTTCTTAAAATTACATACACAATATTGGTCTCATTTTAAAGATCATGAATAATAAAAAATGTTGATATGAATTTTATAAAAATCGGATCAAAAATTAAAAAGTTATTATCATTTTTAACATCAAAAGCAAAAAAAAAAGGAGATGCTGCGTCGTTTTTGCAACCGGGCGCAAAAAAAAAGGAGATCCTCGTGGTGCGTGCACCATATAATTTGCGTCAAAAAGAGTTACCATTTACAGTCGTTTAATTAGTGTCCCATTAACACCTGAACTGCTCGTACTCTATATACATACTCTCCGTATATATTTGATGCATTGATCTTATCCAAACTGTTGTATAGATTAAACAACGTGCGTGAGTGACGGAAAATGGCGAAGGGCGAGGATCGGATCGAAGAAGCCATCTCTGACATGGAACTAGGCGGACGCACCGGTTCTGGAGCGCCGCCGCCGTCATCCCAGAATGATCGTCCTTACGCCGCCGCCGGCGCAGCTGTATTCTCACCCACTTCCGCTGTAACCATAATTCAAAAGGTATCATTAATTATTTCAAACATTATTTATCACGATTCGTTTACAGAACAACAATATATAGAGTTAATTATTATTCACCGATAGAATGAGAGATGTGTTATATTGGAGGAAAACTTAAATTTCATGTAGTAATGACTAATGCGGATATACTCATAATTATTCGTTTACAGTAATATTGATCTAGAATTATAGATTCTTAGTATGTTTTGGCACATTATTTGAGGAGAAACGTAATAGGGGTAACCAATATGATAGAAAAGGTAGAAGATATCAAGTTTTAATAAACTTCTAAATACATCTCAAAAAGGATAATATAATAAATTTTATGTTAATATTTGATATTCAATCCTAAAAGGTCAATCTAATAGTAGTAGTGGTTCAGATCTTAATACTATCGTATATCACTTAATTATTTCACAATTTTCAGGTGTGAAACTTCATCAACCTTTCCTCGATCACGATTACACACTTCATTTGAATCGTGTCTTTATTCATTTTTGTATCGGGTCGTTATTCTCAATTTTTATAATCATCCACATTTTTTCATAGGGCCCCACATTATTATTATTGATCAAATTGGTTCTGATACCATGTTAAAATTTGAGATTTCATAATAAAAGTTTAACCCTAATAGAAGCAGTAATCCGGCCAGATTTTAATATGACAATTTATCACTTCACAATTTTTCGACGTGAAACTTGAAACACTTTAAAACAGGGAATGAATATTGTGGGCAAGACTTATATATATGAAGTATGTTAAAATATGTTTTAGTGTATAAATATCTATAAATCTATATGTACTCAAGGAGTGATGGATGAGGTTGAATTTTCGGTGTAGATGATAGCGGAGGCGGTGGGGGTATACTTCATAATATTTGCGGGGTGTGGATCGGTGGTGGTGAACAAGCTGTACGACGGAAAGGTGACGTTTCCGGGGACGTGTGTGACGTGGGGGTTGATTGTCATGGTTATGATTTACACTTTGGGTCATGTTTCCGGCGGCCATTTCAACTGCGCCGTCACTCTCACCAACGCCGTCTTCCGTCGCTTCTCTTGGAGACTCGTAAGTTCAACACTTTTTTAATTTCAATCTTTACGTAACAATTGAATTGCTAACTCAAATTTACGATTTTTTATGATTTGTTTTTGTCATGTCACTTCCATATAACAAAATCTTGAATAATCTTCGAACCAGTAAACTTCTCCTCAATCATGATCTTAATTTATCGAGATTCTCTGACACGCACACTCAAATTCAAAATTAAATGAACTCACCGCTATTATATATTAGTACGTATCTATGTATACATACATATACGTACGTACACACATGTACGTACATATATACAATCACATAAATAAAAATACACATGCCACTACCCGACAATTCACACGGTATGCCTTTCATCTTTTACACTTAATTTTTAAATGTAAGCTATGGAATTAATGACGGAGTATGAGAGTATCATACAAATTAATGACCCTTTAACAAGACAGATGGAATAATCTTATTTATATTTATTATTTATAGTTTGCATTTTATTAATAAATTACTAGAAACAGGTGCAAAACACGTGTAACATGTTGGTTCTATTTGAAGAATAAAAGTAATTAAAACATGCTAATACCTTCGTCCCAAAAAGATTTGTCATTTTGATTTTTCTTGGTCAATGATGACAAACTTTGGACAACGATTTTAATTAAAATATTTGAAAATAATTTATAAATTTTATACTTTAATAAAAATATTTTAAATAAGAAATATTTTGAGGAACCTCTCCGAACCTTTTTTGAACGGGAAGAGTATGTTTTAGGGATGACTTTTTAATTTGCATAGAAAAATAATGGTTCTATGTGAAAATGGTACGGTTTTCACTTCGATCCTTTTTATCGTTTAGATAAATAAATCCAGGCTGAAGAGAGTTATCCGGCCGTTTTTTACGAATTCAGCTCGCAAGACTGTTTCGTTGTAGTACTAGTATATGTCTCCCTATCAATCCTTAAGTATTTATTTTTAATTATTATATAATTTACGAGGAATTATCCTATCAAGCTAAGTCAGTCGGATAGGATCCGCCGTACGGTCAAGGCCTTTTGAGACCCTTCTCGATCAAATATTTTGATGAATGGTTTGTTCTTTGATCGTCAAATATAGGTTATCTCCACAAATTTTCGTTTAAAATACGATCAGGAAGACAGTTAAATAAATTATTTTAAAGCATTGCACTTTATATATAAACAATGTATGTTTTCAATAATTTATTTAACTGACTTTCAGATTGGATTTTAAGATGAAATTTTGTGGAAATAATCTACACTTCATGAAACCTAATCAAAAAACTTTTCTTATATATATATTTAGGGTGAATTATCTAAATAGGACAAAAAAGTGGCCGAAGATCACAAATTAGGTCTACATCTTTTAAATTCCCCCAGGGTCGGGCTATTTATGTGTGTTTGGACAAATATACCTTTGTAGCTTTTGAAATGTCTTAATTAAAAATAATCATAAGAAATAATACAAATCGTAAAAAATAAAAAAAAACGTCAAAATATAGTGAAAATTTTATAAAATATTTATAAAATAAAAAAAATAGAAATTAAAAAAAACTTAAAAAATGTCACCTCTGCCACCACCATCACCACCACCTCCCATCACCGGTTGGAAATCTTCCAAAACTGTTGGTAATGCCATAATAATGGCAAATTCAATGAGAATTTTGGCATTATGAAGAGTATTGATGCCATTTTCTTGGCATTTTCATAAAAAATGGTACTTTTTACAAAAAAATGGCAGAATTTTCACTGATTGGAGGTGGTGGTGCTAGGAGGCTGTGGGAAAGGTATCCATATTTTTTGTATTTTTAAATGTGTTTTTACTATTTTTTATTACTTTTAGAAAAAACGAATCAAAAAAATTATTTTTAAAAACCAAAATTTATAAATATTTTTATTAATTTTTTGATTTTTTTTCCTGAAATTTTTATTATTTTTTACGATTTTTACGTTTTTATTATGAATTGAGGCATTCATTATGATCAATACCCTTAGGGGTATTTAGGATAGAAATCAATGTTTAGTCATACTTTGAGGGAATAAAAAAATAGTAATCCTACTCGTGATATTTAGGTAAATTTTAGTCCTATGGTAATTTATATTATTATATTTATAAGAAATATGCTAACCACAGTAGTACGTGATGCATGTAGATATTGATTGAGAAACCAAAAGAAATTACACGATTATATTACATATTTTCCATTAAAATTAGCTTTATCATTTTAGTGTATTAATTCGCTCTTAAAAGCTATTTTTTTAGATGATTTTCAATTGTCATAATTAGTTATTATATGTGCCGCGGTATACAACTACTAGCTTAGCCTAAGCTAGTATACTATACATATGATGCATTGAGCAGAGAAAGCAGAATGAAATGAATAATTTCATGGTGCACTTCAATTCATGTCTGATCTAATAAATCATGTAAAAATGTAGATGCGTATTTATAATAAAGATACAATAGCAGGGGCGGACCCAGGAAAGTCATTTTGGGGGGCGAAAATATTTTGGGGGGGTTCAAAATATTTTTGGAAGAACAAAAATCATTTTTCGTATATATATACACTAAAAAAAATTGTTGGGGGGGCGATAACCCCCCTGGGTCTCTACTACGGTCCGCCCCTATACAATAGCAACTTCAATTACTTCACATGTATTACAATGGTGGGGGTGGAAGTTATATATAGGTAGTTGATAAAAATGTGAATATTTATATGCAGTGATTTTAGTAATAACATTTAACTAGCTACTATAATTATATTTAGAAATAATTACATATTTATGACAATAATAAATATTGTTTACAAAAATGTGACATTTTCAGTATAGTGATTATATTACTAACTATAGTCATATTAATTTATGTTCAATTTTTACATATGAATGATCATGACACTATACTATAATATATTTTTGTCATATATTTGTAAATCAGTTTTATTCTAGTAATATTTTTGAGAAAAAAAATCCATACAATAATATTGATCATGAAGATATATTTATAAGGTTCAATTATTTATTAAAATAAAGATTGTTTAATGATTGTTATGTAATAAATGTAATCTTGGTAATTTATGTACAATTTTATACTTAAATAATGACAATAACACAATACTCTAGCATTACTCGTTCGTGCTTTCTACGAATTTCTTTAATTAAGAAAGTTCCCATAGTAGTATAGGAAAATATTCTAGTCGAGCACATGTTGTTAACGTAAATTTCATATTCTCCTATACATATAGTCAATGCGTCACATATATCCATTCCCTAAGATAGGTAGATAAAAGAGAAAATTAACCCACATATGACTAAAACTTAATGTGTTTCCCAAAATATGACTTCTATCTTTTTTCTTCCCAATATGATAGTGTTTCGTATGTATAAAACTAATATTTAATCATATTTTGGGATGTACAAAAGTAATAGTCATATATTCTGACATTGTCAATGTTTTAGTCATATATTAGTAAATATCCCTAGATAAAATGAGAAAAAAAAGCAAAGTAATATGAATTAATAAATTAAAATACGACTTTTTTGAAAGGAATTAAAATACTACTTATTTTAGGGTTCTAGAAAGACCATTGACCATGCGTAGTACCAGACGGTCATTGTCAACACGAGCTCCAACATCAGGACGAAATTGATAAGTCATGCATGCATGGCATGCATGCGTATGCATGACATACGTTCTACGCATACGGTCAAATTAATATAGTTAAATTAATTATTAAACTATGTATAATACAATATTATCTTCTTACTATTAATATGCATGCAGTTAGGATATTTTGTGTCATACGTGTTTATAGTCTATACGAACGACTCTTGTAATCTTAGCTTCTCAACAATACTTGTGGATAGAATTGTAGATACTGCATACCATGTAACTTCATGTATTGTATTCTCCTATTTATATCATTGAATAAAGAGGGTGGTGATTAAGGTGAATTTCTTAGACTTTAACTTGGTATCGGACGCCTTGTTTTATCCCTCCCTCTTCCTTCATGTCTTCTTCCAAATCCTCCTTTCATCCCACCTTAGCCATATCCAACATCAAAAACTATATTCCTATCACACTCGACCTTGATAATTGCGATTACTCCACATGGGCAAAGTTGTTCAAGATCACGGCGTGAGCTTATCAGGTCCTCGACCACATCATTCTCTCTACCGATGATGCCTCATTCGCCTCCACCTCCACCAACTCCTCCCTGACACTTGAACAACGCCAGGCTTGTGACACCGCAAAGGCCGAGGCGGATGCCTTATAGTCTCATCTCGATGCCATTGTTTTGTAATGGATCTACGGGACCATCTGCCATGACCTTTTACACACCATTATCGAGGTTGATTCCAGCGCCCAAGACGCGTGGGATTGTCTCACCGACTTATTCCAAGACAACAAGTACTCATGTGTTGTTTGTTTGGAGAACGAATTCTTCAACACAAGACATGATCAATTCCCGGACATCGCTGCATACTGCCGAGCTTTGAAAACCCTCTCCACCAAACTCAAGAATGTAGGAGCTACGGTGGATAATGATCGCCTTGTTATTCGTGTGGTTAACGACATGTCCTCCGTCATGGGCTATGATACGGTGGCATCCTTAAATGATTCAACAGAAGGAACCTCTTCCTCCCTTCTCTAAAGTTCGGTCGATGGTCGGTCTTGAAGAGTCCCGTCGCAATCGGTCTAACTCTTCTGCCACCGCGCTGGTTCACACTTGAGATGCAATAATGTCACACCACAACCAACTTCTTCATCTCACGGAGGCCGTGGTGGCTCCACTGCGGTGGCGGTCGAGGACGCTCTTCTTCTAAACGCGGAGGGCGCGGATGGCAACCGACACGTGTGGACCCTACTCCTTCTCCCGGACAGTGGCCTCAACCCCCTCCTTGGGCTCCTCCTCCTTGCCCATACCCTGGTTATCCTTGGAACAACCAACCCAGTCCATGCCCGTCTACTGGTGCTGGACATCTGGGACCTCGTCCGCACTAGGC